CCCTCCCTCCTTCTCCCCGTCTCCCTCTTCTCCCTCCTACCTGTGCCCACTTTTCCCCCAGGTCCCGCCCAAGCCTCCCCCGCACCCACCAGGTGGCCCGGGGTCCCCGTCGCCGGCCCGCAGCCAATGGGCGCCCGGACGCAGCCTGAATAAAACATTAAGCCCGGCCCCGCCCGCCGCAACCCGCTTCCTGCCATTAACCCGCACACTCTTTTGTAACAACCTAATCTTGCATAAAAAGGAGGAAGGAGTATAACTTGGACCTGCTGCTCAAACCGAGCCTGTCGCCCCGCAGCTGGAAAAGGTAAAGTGTCAGGAAGTCCGTGGGCTCCCTACCTCTGACTCCGGTAACCTGGAGTTTCTGGGGGAATCCCAGCGACCATTTCACCGCTCTGGAGCGGAGAGGAGTTCAGGGACTTCCCGCAAGGGAGATGGAAGAGAAACAAGGTAGCTGAGAAGCATCCAGCCAGCCCCGAAGCCCTTTTATTTCTATTCCAGAGGTGATCTGTGCCAAAGAGCTTATTGCTGTCCTTGCTCTCCAGAAGAGAAAACTAAGAGTGACTTCTTGCAAACCTGCAGGTACAGAAAGACGAAGTGATCTTCTAGGATTAGATGTTGCAGAATTAGGTTCACCGTGCCCGAGGAAGGATCCTCCTGAGAGCCCCAGGAGGCTCTAGAAATCTGACACAGGACTAGTATGTCCACAAGACCCTGTGGCCACCAAGGGCCTGAAGACCAGTCAGGGGCAGCAGGAGCCAAGGGCACTTACTGAAGGGGAAAACTAAAAGAGTTTATGAGGTCCTGAGTTCAATCCCTGGTACCAAAACAAACAGACACAAAGAAAGTTGAATGGACAGAGATAAGGCTGGGTGAGGCAGCTACCACAAGGTAGCACCCAGAGCTTAAAGGAGAGCGGACTCTTAGCACCTCTGAGCTGGAAGGGGTGAGGAGAGCAAATAGTCCCTGGGGCTCAGCGAGGACTGCAGGTGTGGGACAAAAGTGTCTTCACTGGCTGTGACCTGCAGCCAAGGGGCAGAGCTGCTGCCAGAGTGAGGGGGCAGAGATGGTCCATCCCAGTCCCCTCCTAGCTTGCCAGCTCCTAAGGATGCCCCCCACTGGCCCCACCCCCCGGAAGCAAAGAGCCAGGGAGCCCTTGCAATGGACTCCTTGTGGATCTGTCTTCTACTAGGACTGGAGCAAGAGCAGGGAGGGTGGAGAGCAGATCTGGAGGAGAAAGTGGGGACAAGTAGCACAGTTCTTCCCAGCCCAGAGCAGGGGTGTAGAGCAGTTCCTGGGGCTGGAACACTGGACCACACAGGCAAGGTCCCTGTCCTCATGGGGTGCATCCAGCAGGGGAAAACAGTCCACACAGAGATATATAGATAGATGTGCATATTTTAAAAAATACCACAAGACAGCATGGTTCAGTAAATTCCAGGAAAGAAAATCTGGCTGAGGACAGGAAGGGCTCTGGCAGGTGGAGAGCAGCTCTAGACAGGGCAGGTAGAGAGAGTTTGCAGGAAGGCATTTGAGGAAGGCAATCTGGACTTTCCAGGAGGTCTCCTCGTGGGCTTTGTGGGTTAGAATCAAGGGAGGGATGTGATTTAATTTGCCCAAGCAGCCCCTGAGGGATAAAGGGGGTCAGGCCTGGAAGAATGCCCTCCAGAAAAGGGCACCGAGTCCACACACAACTGGAGACACCCCCCCCCCAGCACCTGGAAACCCTTTATCTCCGTTCGTTCCCCTGACTGCTTCGAGGACCTTGGAGCTGGGGTGTTCCTTCCCTTCTGTGTCCCTGCAAGATCGGCAAAGTGGAAGTGCACGTTCTAGCCCTCCCTTGCTACACCTCTGGCCTACTCCTGCCATCTGCCTAAACCTCTAGGCAGATAGAATGCTTTCTTTTCTCTTCCTTGGTGGAGCCAGGCAGATTCTTCTCCATCCATCCCCTTACTCCTGATTTTAAAGTTAAGGAAGAAAAATTAAAAATAAAAATAAAAGCTGCCCAGGAGGTGAACCACGGGGTCCTCTGGTAACACACGCATTCAACAGCCAGAAGCCGCCTGCGTTTTCTTTTTGCACAGCCCCCAGCTACTCCCATTTCAGGCGCGCCTGCAGCAGCCTTCGCTTGGTGGTCTCCGGGCTATTTTTGAATAGGCAGGCAGGCGAGGATCTCCGTCAACTGCAGGAGTTTTCCTCCCCTGCCCCCCACCCCAGCGATGGGGCTGAGCCCGGGTCGCTGGCCGCTGGCGCCGAGTCTTCCAATCTCTCTGACAGCCCGGCCCAGTCCTCCGTGCAGCCAATGGGCAGCGGTGATTTATGGGGCTGACGGAGGGGCTGAATGCGGCTGTCAGCCTCGCAGTGAAGGGCTTCCCTTCCCGCACAAGCCCCGGCTTTGTGTTGCCTAGCGATTAGAGCAGATGTAATGAGATTTTGCCCAATCCCTGCATTGTGCTTTCCTAGCTTGGGCAAAATTGTGCGTGTGTGTGTGTGTGTGTGTGTGTGTGTGTGTGTGTGTGTATGTGTCTGTCTGTCTGAATTTTTCAAGTTTGCCTTTGCCTTGTGGCAAACAACGCCTAACTTTGCCTCGAGTTTAGGGGGGCTGGATACTTTCCATTCACAAGTGTGGAAAGGAACATCTGTCCCGACCAAGAGAAGGGGGGAAACCCCCTTTGTGGGGACTGAAATATTACCCTAATAATAGATTCATAATTATAAGTGACTCGCTACACTTTGTTTGCATACCTTATCTGGGAACTCGCAAAGGAAGTTAAATTAAATGAAAGAGAAATTGGGGGGTCACAGCACTGATCCTCCAAATAAGATAAAATTTTAAAAAAGCAGATGTCACAAAAGCGTTGCTTCCCTCAAGTAAGCTCTAAATTGGCTCACTGTTGGCAGAAAGTCCGATTATTTATGGCGATGAGGAATTTACTGATTTTTGTTCTCCCCTTAATTACGCTCATCTCTTTGAAAGGGACTGAAGCCGCATTCTACAGAGGGCCATTTAGCAAAATGACATCAGGCGCTGTGTCCCGCTCAGTGCATCTGGGCTTTAAAAAATGTTTATTCGGGGCCACTAAATGGTATAGATGTACCAACACAGACTAGATTTTTAACTCTGGAAGAAGCGCCGGCTCCCTGCTCTTTGTTGGGTTTTGTAAGATGCGTTTTGCGCTGGGCTTTCCGCTTGGCTGGAGACACGCACGCTGAATCTCCAAGTGCCGCCCGCGGCCAGCCAGGATCGGGCGGAGGCCCAGTAGGATTCTAATCACGTCCTTGCTAACTGACAAGAAGCAAGCCAGCCAAAAACCCACCAATTTCTTTTTGAATCTTGGTAATTGGGTACTTTTCCACGCAGCTCACGCTATTCGGATGGAGTCACAGGGTTCCATAGGCCAGCGTCTCAAAGCGACCACACATTTCTAATATTTATTGAACTCTAGCTCTTGTGAGGAGCTCCTATCCTCCGTATCTTTTACTTAAAAGCAATAGGAAAGTGTATGCATTGGGAAAAAGGGACAAGAGAGGGGAGATGTGTGGCTGGGAGTGAAAGCAGCATGCACCCCACTGCTTTAGAGGGGGACCTGCCTGCCCCAACCCCCAACCTCCCGCCTTAGCCCACCTGGCTCCTCCTGGTCTCAGCTGTCCCTTAGCTTTGCCTGCAGAGCTTCAGGAGGGGGTGAGGGCCCCAAGGTGGGGTACAGAATCCTCTCTTCCCAGTTCACGTTTGGGAGATGTTTCCACCTACAACTTGTTACAGGAGGAAGCAGCCATCAGCCCCCATTTATTCCCCTGGGGTGTGTCTGCATTTGCAGCAAAATAAAACAAAATGTGGACACTATTCTCCTCTACATCCACCACACAGTTGCCCGTGGCGTAGGACTGGACTGCGCTTGTCTTTGTCATTTCTCCAGCCCTGTGTATTTTGCACCAGTTTCTCTCTCCCACCCACCCCCTCCCTGTGGCATTTGGATGCTAACTTGGCCAGGGCACCCTTGGGTGTCAAAGAAAGCTTGGAGGCAGCTGATTAAGTTCACTTTTTAAAAAAAGGAAAAAAGTTTTATTATGAAACTAGTTTGTATAAAACAGGGTTATACACGTTTTTGTAAGTCTGTAATAAAACAGTAAGAAGGAAAAAAAGGCAGTGGTAGAAATTTCCAAAAGGCAACCTATCAAAACCATGTGGCTGCCACTTTTTCGTTTGGACAGTAGCTGAATAAACTTTGTTCTTCGCGAACAGGATTTAATAACATCATTAATACATTAACAACGTTTCTATAAAGTAAGACACATTGGTGCTGAAGTACATCTGGCGGTATTTTGATCTCACCCGTGGGGAGAGCTCTTTACAAAAACCACATAGGGGAAATGGCAGTCGTAAGGTGAACTACACAGCTAGAATATGCAGAGGTAATAGCATTACATGTTAAAGTATCAAGATATACAC